ACCTGATCATTCTCCAGCCTCAATTGTGCAGCTAAATCAAATTGAGATTTCACTTGAGAAACTTGAGATAGAGAATATCTAGGTTTGTTGTTTATCAAAAAAGATAATTTATAACAAAACATGATGATATATATTTTCAAAAAAGATATTATAATATGGTCAATGGACTTTAAAAAACATAGTCATGTAGATCATGATGGTCAGATGAAATGAGAACAGTGAAGGAGAAAGTTGTGGGACACACCAAAACAGAATGTGAACCGCACTAGTGGGTTCCATTGTAACTCCTGAGAGGATTGTCACAAACTCACACATCTCAGTCACTATTTGGGTTGGACTTTTCTGATCCCAGTCTTGTACAAAAGACCCAATAAAAGTGACTTAAGATAATTTGGCAAATTGAATAGTTACTGTCATTGGACTTTTAAAAACATAGTCATGTAGATCATGAGGGTCAGATGAAATGAGAATAATGAAGGAGAAAGGTGTGGGACACACCAAAACAAAATATGAACCTCACTAGTGGGTTCCATTTTAAGTCCTGAGAGGATTGTCACAAACTCACACATCTTAACAACTCCTTTAGTGAATGTTTGTCTATCACGTAAAGACATAAAACAAAAGCAAAACTAACTAAAGAGTTCAATATGTTTATTAAGAAGGTTTCTCGCTTGTGAAAGACTCAACTAAGCTCTTATTTACTAAATATAATAGTGAAGACCTATCAAGAGTATATCAATATAGCCATATTTCAAAAAAGAGTATATAAAATATTTTCTAATTAACAAATAAAGGCATTTGGAGCAACAAAGGGTACATGCAACAAGGACATTGCAAAAATTGCAACAAAGGGTGAATTTTTTATGTGTGCCTTAATTTGATTGTTTAGGGCCTCACCCTTAAGTAAACTTTTTTCTCCCGATTCAAGCCACGATACAATGAGTAATAAACTAATCTTGGTGGTGGAAATTATATTGTAAACTGATTGTGTGTAGCATAGAGAGAGACAGAGAGAGAGAGAGAGAGAGAGAGGGACAGAGAAGAACTGAGTGTGTGGCATGAAGAGAGAGGGCAAGGAAGAACTCACTTGGTTTGTTTAAGAGCTGTTTACGTGGCTCTGGCAACAAGAAGCAAGAAGCAAGAACTCACCAGATCCATGTACTTCAGAGCAAAAAGAACATGAACTTCAAGTAATAAACCATGTAATCATAATTATTTAACATGCTTCGTTATATAAAATTTTTCAAGAAAGAAAGCAGGGCCACTCGCAAGAAAACAAAGAGAACAGGGAGAACAAGGCCCTTTGCTCATATTTTCACCAATCCTTTAGTGGGGGTTTTATTGAATACTAATAACCAATTTTATACACTTATATAGCCAATGCACCTTGAAATTTATTTTAACTAAGAAGCCTTCAATAATTACTGATAAATCAAAAAATAAAAAAATAAAATTAAGCCAAATAACCTTTGATGCTTCACATTCGATTTGGAAATGTGCCAATTGCAACCAATGCTTTGGAATGGATAAAACAATTTAGAACTCTAAATATAAGTTTCTGAAGACATCCAAGAACCCTTCCCCCCATTTTGATGAAATAATGCCCAAATAACTTCTATCAGTCTCACTAACCAATTGGACATGAACCCACTTCCCCAAAAGAAGACAAATAAATACATGGAGGCGACTGAAGAAATTAAATGAATATGACAAAAAATTCCATTTCTCAAATTCAAATTCACAAAAAAAAAATCACAGAATAGGGAAAATGAATACTGAACCCAAATTTATTTTATGAATTAGGGTTAGATTGTGGCTTGGGTTCGAGTACAAAAAAATCAAGATAATCATTCACCTGATTGATATCCTAAATAGAGGAGGAGTGTGCGGCGTCCGTGGCAAAACCGAAGCTTCTCAGCAAGATGAGAGGACGACGGAGATGACCGCATTCGGGCTTAACAGAGAGGGGAGGGGACAAACGAGAAAGAATAGCTCTTCACTTCACATAGCAGAGGAGAGAAGAGGACAAGCCAAGAGGGGAGCCTCGTAGAGAGGGGGATGCCTCAGAGTGAGAGAGAGGGAGGTCGTAGAGGAGAGGAAATGGAAAAGAAGGGTAACTGGAAATTTTTTGAGGTTTGAAGCTTTTTGAGCCAATCAGGGGCGTTTCGCGCACGGAGTGTTCTCAGCTAATCATGACCCTTTATTTCATGTTTTTTGAATAGACCGTCGATAGGGTAGGGCCGAAATCACTGTAGATTCTCGCCTAGAGGCATTGCAAAGACTTTTATATTTTAAGGCTATCACTAAGATTTCCAGATTGAAACGACATTTCTTGATACTATTTGAAGGTAGGCTCTAATTTGATTGTTTAGAGCCTAGGCTCTATACAAACCGCACCCTATATATATATATATATATATAAGAAAATTCTTACGAATGCCTATACCTATAGGCGAAAAGTAACAGGAATCTCGCCACATTACCATCAACCGTTTGTTCAAATTAAATCCAATATTTCACCTGCGAACCGTTCAGATCTGCGAACAAAACCCGACGCTCGAAGGCTCAAAAGCTTCAAACCTTCCAATATTTCACCTGCTACCGTCCTTTGCTCTGCTAACCTCCCTTCTCTCTCGCTCGACCTGTCTACTACTCTATGAAGGTCCACTCTCTCCCGTCGCCCTCTCTACTGCTCTATGAAGGTCCCCTCACTTTCTCTGCGCTGCTACCCACATTGTCTTTGCGAACTTCCCAGATGCTTTAGAGAGAAAAGAAAGCCTGTTCATGGAGGTTTTAGTGAAGAGATGGAAAGCCAAATCGCAAGGAGGTGGATGTACCAAAATGCGTGCCACCACTTAGCTACTGAAAAACTCCCTATCAATCATGTCTTTCCTGTCGTAAATTAGAAGTCCTTTTTTTTTTCTTTTTCCATTAGTTTTATTCATGCAAGAAATTTCAGGGGAATATCAGTTTTTGTTCAGTTGGGTTTTGTTATGTGATGAATATTTAGAGAATTATGATGTGGGTTTTGGTTTTTGCTCTGAATCCGTATGCGTCTTGAACTTGGAGGAGATTGGGAAATTTAATAATTGAGTTTCTTTTAGCATTTCTTCTTTTGTTTTTCAAACTAGGTTTTCTTCCTTATTTTTTTATGGCCTCATAGTATGCTCTAGATGTTACCAAATAATATGCCGTGGGTTTGATTTAGAAACATTTAATTTGGAATCTCATGATTTAAATAACCATTTTTTATATGAAAATGGAGGGTAGTTACATTTTTGCAGTGGTATTTGGAAGGATTAATGGATAACATGATTTATTTTGGGTGAATCTGTTTTTTCATTTCTCTCCTCTTTTGCTGGTCTTTTGATTGGTAATGCAGTTATGAGCAAAATAGAGAAATTGAGCCTGAATTATCATATAACTGCAGCTAACTCTAATTTTTGGTGGACTTCTCTTTAATTGTAACATCTTTAATATTTTTGGGAGCGTGTTATTTGATTCTTCGGACATGGTGACATGAGAAGCAAGATAAAATCTGAATGTGATATGTATTTGTAATTTTTTGGGTAAGTGCTAAGATTTGAGTATGTTGGATGCATTATGGCTTTTCTTTATGGTATGCACACAAACTGTTTCTTAATAGATTGCGGTTTTGATAGAATTTATATGTTAGAATTTGTGAGCTTCTATTTGCACAAATCATTGATAGTTCTGTAATATTTCTTTCCTGACATTCAATAGTCCTGTGAAATCTATATTGCATCATGGTGTGTGCAAGTTGGTCTCTCAGAAGTAGTTGATGTACATTTGATAATCAAAAAGGCATCAAACTTCACATACTCATATTTTTGGGTACGTAGATAACACATGCACGTTTCTGTCTTTACAAATTATAAACTCAAATTTAGATACGATTTCCACTACTTCTAGTTAAATGCTTTCATGTACAAACATGTAGATGTATATCATCATTTTCCTACATATGCTCAAATGCATCTTATGTAATTACATCACCATATGGTACTGCTACTACCCTACTGATTTTTTTTCCTTTTTGGGTAATTACTACCCTACTACTTCTAGTTCTTTTTTCTTCTTCTTCTTCTTCTTCTTCTTCTTCTTTTTGGTGAACACTAATAATGGTTAGCACCTATTTTTTCAGTGGAGTGTTTTCCTGGCTGGAAATGAGAACCATCTGGCCAATTTCCAATACTCTCTTGCTGAAAAAGAGCTACATATGTATACAAATGCGAACACATGCTGACATAAACATATACCGGTACATGCAGATCATTTGTGAATGTGTGTAAGCATATGTGCGGGCATGCGTGTGTGTGTGGCATGTGTGTGAAGGGATTATACGGAAAACACCTTCAAGTTCTACCATCAGGCAATTAAATAAGCTATTGATTTAGGACTATGAAGATCTCACTTTTTATGGACTTTCTTTTTTAACTTTGGTTCACCAAGTGAGTTTATTGGCTTTTTCATTTAACCTGCCCATTGGTATACTCAGTACCATCTAATGATTACGTTTTATGCTTGGTTAATCTGGATATTGCTTCTCATACCAATCTCTATCATTGGTTATTTCTTTGCCTGTCATCAACTGACCAGTTGAACTAATGGCTTTGACCAGAAATTCATTGAGGTTCATGGGACTACTCCAATTTCTCTACACAAAGTTGTCAAATGTTTTGTCCAAAGAGGCCCTGTTTTACTCTCACATATTACCTTTTATTGTGTTCTTTGGAGCTTTTTCCTTTGTGCTTTATCTCTAAGTTCAGTCTTTGAGAGGTGATCATTGTTGTGGTAAAATGGATTTAGGACCACAACATAGTAATAAAAAGATATATGCACAGCTGAGCACTGAGTAATGGTCTAGGCAGGTGCCTAGAGTTGCTGCCTGCACCCACCTGATCTTCGTGGTATTCTCCTAGAATGCCTCCATGCTGAAGCTCATGTGTCCATTTGGGGGCTTTTGACTACAGAGAGTCATGGTTTGTCTTGAGATGACTTGTAGCCTTGTAGACTGCTATTGGCTCGAAGAGCAACATTGGCATTCTTACAACTATATATTTGAGAAAATGTTGGACTTCATGTCACAGCTGGCTTTTTCTTTGGGAATGGATGTGGCTGCTTGGTTGTACTTCATAAATAAAGTTTTTTCACCATAGAACTGTTGTTATACGTCAGGTATAAGTTTTAATTCTTTGTGGAAACATATATTTAACTGGTTTTTCAGGTTTTTATTTCTTTTTGTCTAACCTAATTTTACAACCCAACAAGAAAGATCAAAATTGTTCTGATCATTGGCAATGTTTCAACTTATTGAATGGCATGTCTTTTGTATAGGTAAAGTTTGATTTTGGTTGCATTGAAAGTTGTTTATATGCATGTGGCCTGCTGGATTGTTTGGAAATACCTCATGAAACACATCTATTATTATGTAAGAAGAATTTTTTTTTAGTAAGTTAACCTTTATCATGTAAGAAGTGTCAAATGTGCAGGTTTTTATGTACCAATCAGAAATAACACACAAAGTGCTAAATGTGCAGTTTTTTTATGTTCCAACCAGTCTCTCCCTCATGGTCCTCGAACCAGTCTCTCCCCCATGGAACAAACCAATAATATAAGAAGATAAAGATTAAGCTTTGTTATGCACCTTTGAGCCAAAAGGACAGGGCCTGGAGGAAGACTGTGGATGATCTCAAGAAAGATAAGACATGCCAATTCAAGATAGCAGCTCAACCTTACAACCCCAACGACTCAACAACCACTGTCTCTTGGCTCATAGAGAGAGATATTCGTACTGCTACTTATTTCATTAGAGCTTATGCATTAGATTCTCAAGAAAATGATATGGCCTATGGCCAAACCACAGGCAAGAACAAGACCACTAATCTCTTTGAAATTCAAGGCATTACTGGTACACATGCTTCTCTCGACATCGCAGCTGCATGCTTCTCCGCCTTCTTGGTGTTCTGTCTCTTTGGCTTCTTCATTCGGGAGAACAGGTGTGCCTTATTAGAGCTAGGTGCACTGGGCCTCCTCTTGGAGACAGCTAGGCGTGCCTTCTTTGTCGATGTTGTGGAGCCAGCAGAAGGCATGCTCTTGATTGTTGAGAGCTTGACGATGGAGGCTAATGAGAGTGACATTGGCATCTCAGAGAGTGTGCTTGCTGCTTCCAATAATGGCACAAGCTCGGGGGCTGGTGAGCAAGCAAGAAGGGTACTCTTGATGCTCTTAGAGCGGCTTTCCCACCCTTCTGGTCTAAAAAAATCAGCAAAGCAGCAACGAAACAATGCGATGGTGGCTTGAATATCGAACATATGGAGAACTAGCTGTCATGGAAGTGATGATACAACACTTTGAGCTTCATTTGCAAAATTGGAGAACAAGCTACCATCGAAAAGGGTGGTATTTCTTTTCCTATTTCATGAGGTGTTTAACCTCCTTGTGTCTTTCCAGTAGTTTGTAAATGATTGTAATTGGTCATTGTTTAATTAATGGTAATCCAGTGGTTTGTAAATGATTGTAATTGGTCATTGTTGAATTAATGGTAATCTTTTGTGAATGAAATTCTCTGGTTTCTGATATTATTCAATTTTTTTTTTTTTTAAGACATACATATAAATAGAGAGAGAAAGAGAGAGAGAGAGAGAGAGAGATCTGGTTATCAGCTACAATGAAACACACATAATCTTTTGTGAATGAAATTCTCAGGTTCTTTTTTCTGCACGTCCTCTGGTGTCGTAAAAAGTAAGAATGTATCAAATGCTCGACATAAAAAATAAAATAAGGTGAGAACCGTGGGGATATAAATGCATTTCATTATCGAAATAAAACCCACATTGCACACATTAATGAAATACATGAAAATAAATAAATATCACACATATGTTACCAAAAAGTTACCAAATAGGTTCTTTAGACTTTAGATGCCCCATAAAGAGGTCCTTTACATGCTCCTATAAAGCGGTCCTTTACATACCCACAAAATTACATGAATATTAAATATTCACAAAACGCCCAAATGCTTCTACAAAAAGGGGTATTTAAATGTCTCCAACAATAAAAAAATTACTCAAGTTCTTTACATTCCCAATAAATTAGTCAACTCGGCTCGAGGTCCTCAGTAGCTCTACATCCCATGCGCCCTCACGGGACAGTTACGTTTGTCATGTCCACTCTTATTGCAAACTTTCCACTTCCTTCCAGTGCGTGGTCCTTCCTTCGACCGTTTTTTCTGCATAGAACCTTTTGGCCCTTCCTCCCATGAAGGTTTTATCCTTTTAGTCCTTGCTCGTCCAACTGCTCGTGCATATGGTGGATCGAGTATAAGGGAGGGAGGCATCAATTGATCTAACAATGCCACATACTTCATCTTCAACAACACTTCAATGAGTGGAGGCTGATGGTGCATGAGTATTCGACAAAGACTATCTTGTTGTATTGACCTCCTCAAAACCCAACTTCATTTTTTCAAATAGATCATCATTTTCTAATGCTGGCTCTACAATTGTTCTCACAAGATCATAAAGCTCATGACGTCGAATGAAACTCAGAAATTTAGATATAGTTGAACTACTAGCACCACATCTGTCTTTGACACCCTTCTTTGCATCCATTGTCCAACGGCTCAAAATGTAGTTAGATGGGATCTTCAATACATTCCTCATGTTGAACACTTTGAGCATATGTGAACAAGGTATCCCAAGACGCTCAAAGAATTGACATGTGCATGTACACTTCTTCCCTGATTCAATGAATGTAACCGTTCGAGGGATTGGCACACCGCCAATGTCTTCTACCTTATATTTGACGAATTCATCATTGCCTTCTATTAATTTGTTACGGCAATTTGAAGACCTTACCACCTCCTCTTGGAACTTTCTAAATACTTTTTGAGTGTATGTCTTTGCTGCATGCTCCTCGATAAAGAAGGTTGTCTTTAGAATAGGTGTAGATGTAAGATCTACCTGTCTTTCTCTTCTTCTTTTTTTGTGAAAATCTTGTTTTGCAAATTTTCAATAGCATTCATGAACTTTTGTAAACATGTACCAGAAGTGACGTACATCTTTAAATGACGATTAAACCCTTCACTTCGTTGTGTAGTTTTCATGCTGGCTGTGAACCTATCAGCTATGTATGCATTAATCCATTGAGTGCGACAACCATATAACCACTTGAGTCAACTTTCCTCTTGAAGATCATATTTTTGAATCATAGCCAACCAATCAGCCTCAAACTGCTCAACTGTATAGGCTGCAATACACTTCTTGAATACCTCTAAGAATAATAGGTGCGCATGCTCAACATGGCTAAGATGTGTTTTAAACTTTCCCATGATGTGCCACTTGCAATAATGATGATTAGTATTCGAAAAAACTGTCTTGACTGCAGCTGTTATCGCTAAGCTTGATCAGTGATAATTGTACCTGGTTGGCAGCCTCCCATTGCCTCTAGCCAGTTCTCAATTAACCAAATGAAGGTTTATGTAGTTTCATTGAAGATGAGAGCACATCTGAGGAAAATTGTGTTAACGTGATGATTAACTCCAAGGATTGGGCCAAAGGGCATACTGTATACATTTGTTTGGTATGTGGTGTCAAAGGTTACCACGTCATTAAAAAATTGGTATGACAATCTATACTTTGAATCAATCCATAAAACAACAAACAACCTCCCCATCTCATCAAGTCGAACTCTATAAAAAAAATTAGGGTCCAATTCATTCTCCGTATCAAACCAATTTATAACAATATTACACTCTTTCTCTTTCAGTTGTTTTCTTTTTCTAGTTATGTGATTCTCAAGGTCTTTCTCAATGAAAGTAACATTTTTGCCCCACCAGCCTCTTCAATAAGGTAATCTATCGTAACCCTAGACTTAGTCATGGAAGACTCCAATGTGTCAATCACCCTTTTCACTGTATTTGATATCTTTCGATGAAAGCAAATGAATCTAGTCTTGTTGGGCTTTGTGAGAATATGATTATATTCTTTTACAACCTTCGCAAGAACCCATCTATTATTCTTCTTAATGCGGTTTTTTTCCTGACATCCACATTTTGGGTGGGGGCAAGCATTTTCACTCCCATGATACATCTCACTACGAAAACCTTGCCTACAACATTTTAAAATCCAACTAATTCTTCCACCATGTTTCCATATGGTCCTTCCTGTTTTTTTACCAAACCCTAACAATTTTGCGTACTTATTATAATAATCATAAGCTTCATCTTCGTCAGTAAATACCGTTCTTATTGCTGGTTCTATACTTGCACCACTTGCTAGGGCTGCCTCAGCATCTATAAGTAACGGATCTCCTTCTTCATTTATTGCAACTATGTCCTCATCAGATAATAACAGATCTCCTTCTCCATTTATTGCAACTATGTCTTCATCAGATAGAAAATCATGGCAAGCTTCATCCACTGTAGCCTGAGTACCACACTCATTCCCATTTTTTGAATTAGTAATGTTGAGGGGAGAGGAAGGAGATGCTGATGTTGAGGCATCCATGACACATGCATAGTATACCCGTTCAACCTCCTTCGTTAGCGCTGGTGTAGTAATGGGCTGTATCGGGATTTGATCCTCTGATCGAGAGCTACTCTCTCCAATGTCTCCAAGTACATCATTGTTCGCATTGTTCTCTTGGGGCTCCTCTAATGGGATTCGACAATACTTTCATAGGGAGCCGAATGCCTCAAGAGCTCTGTGCTACGGTGGATGTCCTCCCACTACATTATAACACCGAATGTTAATTGGAAAAAATAACACAATAATGAATACTAAAGCAATTCAGAGAAAACAAAGACTACTGCTTATCTATCCCATTAATTATAACAGAGAAAACAAAGACTACTGCTTATCCATCCCATACCAGATATTTTTGTCCTTTTCTTTCTTCTCCAAGGATTTGCAAACCAGAAATGCAAGCTCGTATGAAATGATGCTTGTTTTCACTACTCTCAAGCAGAAGATTGTCCAAGAGATACATTCAATAGCCGATTGCAATCACTTATCAATTTTGTTTTTTGTACTACAAGACCCCGGATGACAAGAAGAGCCTCCAATACGTGAGACAAAAGCTCATCTCGCATGAACCTATTTACACCATTAGCAGTAAGTAAGCAACATAAAACCCCAAGATTTCATTTCAAACTTTAACTCCGGAACCCAGAGCTGAAGCTGAAATTAGATTTCAATCTATTAAGAATTTAAGTTAAACGAAAAATCAAAGGGCAACTAAAGAATCTGAAGAGATTCTTGACTAAACTTCACCCAAATCCTAGATTTAAATGCAGGAAAATTCACCATTGTCTTATAAACCATGAGAAAACCAAGTTCATATCTTGATTTAATTATGGTCATTACGGCTAAAACTGGTGTGTGGCTGACAACCAGATGCTTGCAATTAGCTACATTAACATTTCAGCATCTTGAAAAACAATTTAGAACCCTATCAGCAGAAAACACCCAAGAACCCCTCCCTGCATTTTGATGAAAAATGCCCAAAATCACTTCTTTTAGTCTCACTAGCCAATTGGACATGAACCCACTTCCCAAAAAGAGAACAAATAAAATATGTGGAGGCGACTAAAGAGATTAACTAAATATGACCAAAAATTCCATTTCTCAAATTCAAATTCCCAACAAAAAAATTTACAGAACATGGAAATGAATACTAAACCCAAATTTATATAAAAAACTAAAAGAAAAAGTTGCATTGTGAAATAGAGAATAGAAGCATACATAAAACCAAATAATTGTATTAAAATTTCAATTGAAAGTCAAGCATTATTTTTTCTTTTAGAGCATTCAGCTGTATTTATTGCAACTTCTTCAAGTTATAGATTTAGATATAGTCATTGCATTACCAATCAAAAGACCAGCAAAAGAGGAGAGAAATGAAAAAACAGATTCACCCAAAATAAATCATGTTATCCATTAATCCTTCCAAATACCACTGCAAAAATGTAACTACCCTCCATTTTCATATAAAAAATGGTTATTTAAATCATGTGATTCCAAATAAATCAAACCCACGGCATATTATTTGGTAACATCTAGAATATGCAATGAGGCCATAAAAAAATGAGGAAGAAAACCTAGTTAGAAAAACAAAAGAAGAAATGCTAAAAGAAACGCAATTATTAAATTTCCCAATCTCCTGCAAGTTCACGGCGCATACAGATTCAGTGAAAAAACCAAAACCCACATCATAGTTCTCTTAATATTCATCACATAACCAAAAAACCAACTGAACAAAAACCGATATTCTCTTGAAATTTTCTTGCATGAATAAAACAAATGGAAAAAAAAAAAAGGAAAAAAAAAAGAAAAAGAAAAGACTTCTACTTTACATAAAAAAGACATGATTGTCTGGAAGTTCTTCACTAGCTAAGAGGTTGCATACATTTTGGTACATCCTCCTCCTTGCGATTTGGCTTTCTATCTCTTCACTAAAACGTCCATGAAGAAGCTTTCTTCTCTCTCTAAAGCGTCTGGGAAGTTCGCAGAGAAAATGTGGGCAGCAGCGCAGAGAGAGTAAGGGGACCTTCGCAGAGCAATAGAGAGGGCAACGGGAGAGAAGGGAACCTTCGCAGAGCAGGAGAGAGGGCATGCGAGATAGAAGGGAGGCTTGCAAAGCAGAGGAGGGTAGCAGATGAAATATTGGAAGGTTTGAAGCTTTTGAGCCTTTACACGCTGGGTTTTGTTCGCAGATCTGAACTATTCGGAGGTGAAATGTTGGATTTAATTTGAACGGACGGACGGTCAATAATAATGTGGCGAGAGCACTATTACTTTTCGCCTATAGGCGTTCGTAAGACTTTATATATATATATATATATATATATATATTGGATACTCTAAACTTCATAGCCTTTTAAATTACAAAGGTTCAAGATAGAGAGAGTTGTGAAGGGTGGATTTATTAATTTTGATGTCTATTTCTTAAAAATCGTTAATTTTGTATGGTGATTTTGTAAATATTACTACAATACAAAGGGTACTTTTGTCATCTCCAAAAGGGATAAAATTAAAATTTTAACTAAAGAGCAAGGGCACTCTATAAATAAAGTTTTAGGACACTAACTTCCAAAATACCATTGTACTTTTGTGAAAATTTAAATTTACCTTTGCTTAATGGTAAAATTACCTATTTAAATATTTTTTTATAAAAAAGTAATGATTTTTTTGATAAATACACCCATCACAACCCCTTTTAACCTGAACCTTTGTATTTTAAGGGGTTGTTAAC